GGCCCGAGCTTGGGCCATGTGGTTCGAGTTACAGGCGCGCCGAGGCTCTGCTCAGAGCATGCAGAGCCCAGCGTGTGGGGTCCTTTTTTTCCTTTTCTGCTTGCGTCACTCGGAAACGGCTTGAATCATCGGGCTCAAAGTTTCCAAAACAATCGCCCCTGGGCTGGGACGCAGCATGGGGAATCCTAGGCCGAAAAGAATCGGCAGGGGGAATTGATGAGTAATTTGAAAAGACTAATTAGCCAGGAAGTTAGACCTGAACCTTCTCTATGGAGACCACTGCTCCCCCCTCCCCTCATTACCGGCTGGATTCTGAAAGGCTCAGATGAGACTCTGGGATCACAGAGCCCTGGAGATGAGCCCAGAAAATCTCGCTCCTGAGACACACCCTGGCATAAGCATCTTTAGAAAGACTTTTATTGAAAGCCCGGGTGATTACACTGGAAACACGGGGGGCTGAGGCACAGGAATCCCGGCCCCGCAGGCGTCTGGGGTCACTTCTTACGCAGCTGTTTCTGACGCTGATCCTTGAAGAAGTCGTTGAAGCCCATGGCCACGCAGGCTAAGAAGCAGGCGAACTCCTGGAAATCCACCTCATTGTCCTTGTTGACATCCAGGTCGCTCATGATCTTCTGGAATTCAGCGTCGTCCATTTGCTTCTGTGAGAAGCCGGGGGAGAGACGCCGGGTTAGCTCAGCGGCCTGCTTCTAGGCGGGGTCCCTGCCACCACCAGGCTGCACGTCGGACGCTCAGCCGGTCAATGCTGGAGCAGGCCAATATCCTGGCTCCCTCCCTCCCTCCCCCAACCACTCGCTTGCGTGGTTCAGCAGCTGGGTACGTCTTGTCTAGGAGCATGGCAGCCTGGATCAGACCAGCCGGTATCCCGCCTCCGACACTGCCTGGTACCAGCAGCTTCAGAGGAGGGTGCAAGAAACCCCCAGCTGGCCGAGCTAGGACAGTCCACCCAAGAGGCTAAGATTTACTCGTGTAAGCCCAGAAGCACATGGTTCATTGCCCTTCCAAAATATTCACCCTCGTGAACTGATTGTAGTCTAGTTAAACTAGGAGCAAGTTGGCTCTGGGACCGTCACTCATGTCTGGGCAGCACCAGCACAATGAGCCCCTGATCTGGTGGAGACCTTGGGGTGCTCGTCGTCACATAACCCGGGCTAACCCCGTTTGGCTCTTTGTCCCCCTCTAAGAGCCAACTGCTAGCAGAGCACCTCATCCTCCCTGATTGAACTAACCTCGTTATCTCCAGACTGATTTATACCTGCCTCTGGACATTTCCATTACTTGCATCTGAAGAAGTGAGGTTCTTACCCACGGAAGCTTATGCTCCCAATACTTCTGTTAGTCTTAAAGGTGCCACAGGACCCTCTGTTGCTTTTTACAGATTCAGACTAACACGGCTACCCCTCTGCTACTTGTCCCCCTCAAGTGGCTGCACCACATCTGGAAGGTTGAGTCTGCTACTGCCTCTGGGTTAATGGGCTTAGTCTGAATCTGGGAGCATGAGCTGAAAGTCCCCAGGTTCTGTTCCCACACGTGACCGGTGGGAACAGGGGCCTTGTTAAACGCAGACTAGGGGGCCCAGCTCGTCACGTGGGAAAGTGTCCAGCATTTCTGGAGATCTCACTGAATAGTTCTGATTGCAGGAAAAGACCAACCTTTGTGGCAATTTGAAAAGCATCATAATTTGATTTGTTCTTGAAACAGGCGGATTTTGGGTATTGAACGTCTTCCCATGGCGCTTTTTTTTAATTATTATTGAAATTTTGTTTTTTAAATTTGATAATTTTTGAAAATGCAAATTGTTTAATTTCCAAAATCAAGGGGATTTCTTTGGGCGGGGGAGGGTTTTCCAAAAATGAACATTTTGATCATTTAAAAAAAGTCCTTTTTATAATTAAAAAAAAAACATTGTTTAAACTGACCAATCAGAGTTGGGAAAGAAAGAAAAGATTTGTCCAAAATTTAAAAAAATCAGTACATTTGTATGACGCTGTCTGGTTCTGAAAGATGGTTTCACCATAAATACTAGTTCAACCAAAAAATGGTGACCATTTTGAATCTTTTCCCTAATATTCCCCCTAACTCTTTCTTCTCTTAATTTCTTCCTGCTGCAATCGTCTGTCGATCTCCCTGGGGGCTTTGTCGTGGCGCCCATCACCACAGTATCTGGGCACCTTGCACATGAAATAGGACAATAGCATGGCCCTTCGTGGCGTCTGTGGCTTCTCTTCCCGTTCAAGCTACTCTTCTCTGTGCCGTGCTAAGGGCAGACGGGGCTATGACCATCTGGCCTGGCCTCCTGCTTAACCACAGACCTCTACGCAGAGGGGAGTGGATCCGAACCCACCTCTCCACCTGGAGACCAGAGCACAAGGCAGATGGAGCCTTGACCCTTAGACCAGGTTGGTAACTGGTAAATAATTCCTCCCCGCTCCTTGATTGACACCCTTCGTGGACAGGTGTCGCGTTCCCCCGCCCCCTTTGAGACGTCACCCAACACGTCTCAGCGTTTCAGTCTTTCCCTGCACCGTGGCACTTACGCTCTGGAAGCTTGGAAGCTCCTTGGTCAGCAGCTCCTTAAGCTCGGCCTTGCTGAGTTTGAATTTGTCGCCTTGCTTCGCCGAGTACTTGTGGAAGGTCGAGACCATCACGGCCAGAGCCTGCTCCAGGGGAACTGCCATCCCGGACCGCGCGCGAACCTGAGAAGCAGAAGCA